TTAGCCTTGAGTACAAAAGCTCAGGGATAATGCCCAGGCCCTGAGTTCAAGCCAATAAGAAAAAAGAAGAAAGAAAACAACTATGTTAATGGATAATCATTGAAAAATACCAAATTTGCAAATAAGCAAGTTTGTGCAAATAGCCCCTTGTATCCTTGATACCCCCCTTCATCACAAACCCTTCAGGCTCACTAGTGCAAACTGAATAGCAAGATTAATTTGCTGGAGCAAACCAAGAAAAATGCTTAAGCAAAAGTGGGCTTCTTTTTTTGTACCAGGGCTTGAACTCAAGACCTAGGTGCTGTCCCTTAGCTTTTTTGCTCAAACATGGAACTCTACCACTTGAGCCACAGCTCCATTTCTAGCTTTTTGGTGGTTAACTGGAGGATAAGAATCTCACAGACTTTGCTGCTCAGGCTGGCTTCAAACCACAATCCTCAGCTTTGTCTCCTGGGTAGGCAGGATTACAGGAGTGAGCCACCAGCACCTGGTAGATTTCTTAGATTTAGCCACTTTGCCAAACCATCTTTCCCCTACAGTTGCAAATAGCCAAAAATAAAACCATCCATCCAGATTGACTAAGAAAGGCAGGAAGGAAAATAAAGTATGGTTTCCTTGATAATCTCTGTTTACCTCTTATGACATGAGTAGCCCATGCTGAAGATGACAGTCTTGCAAGCATCATAAGAGGTTATCATATAAAGATGGCCCATAAATATAGGCTAATTTCACCTGTGATCACCCAAAGAAACAGCTATCTGACCTAACAGGCTGGAGGAAAGTTCACTAGGTTCTATCTATATGCAAATATGGTCCATAATTTTGACTGATGGACAATTTCAGGAAGTTTTAGCAGTTGAGCTAATAATTGACTTTAGAAGCTGACCATCTTTGTTCCATAGGTCAGGTTGTTTTCTCTTACAGAAAACTTAAGTGTCTTGTGGTGTTTACCATAATGAAAGTACACTTGCAGGCTTGAAGACAATTCCAGTTAGGAAAAAAAGACAACAGATACTTACAGAGGGTACTGTAGAAGGAGGTAGGAAACATTTAAAAGTCAACTGCTTAGCTTTTTTGCTCAAGGCTGATGCTCTACCATGAAATAAATAAAATTTAAGAACAAAACTAAAACTTTTATTTCCAGAAATTAGACTCTCCTGAACAGACAAGAAGTCAGAGATCTTAATGTAGTTAAACTTAATGCTACATTCAACATCCAGTTTCTTCTGCACTTCAATACTGTCTTCTCTGGCACATCTAAGGCTTAATTACATTCCAGTCTTGATAAATTTAGCTAGTAGTGATGCCAAAACACTAGAATAGCTAATGTTCATGCAAAACTATTGGGTTATCTGTAAACACAGTCAGAATAAAAAGTAGCCTTCTAGAAAGGACATGGCTAAAATTTATCTTTCAGTACCAGGTATTTATCAACAAAATGTCTTAAAAAAAAAAAAAAAAAAAAAGGCCTGAGGAAGCAATACTGCCAAATTTTGCTCTTTTCTTTTTTTTCTTGGTACCATCTTACCATCCCAAAGTCCTCCAAGCTGCCAGGTCTACAAATTTCCTCAATTTGTGCTCAAGAGCTTGAGCCAAAAGATGATGGCAAAACCTACCAGCAAATTCTGAAACACTGTATTCCAAAAACTATATGCTATTTCATTTTCACATTCCATACATCTTAATGTTGTCAGGCATGATGATTAACACTTATAATTCTAGCACTCCAGTGGCTGAGACAGTAGGATCAAGAGTTCAAAGTCAGCCTGGGCTATATAACAAGATCCTTTCTCAACCTCCACCCAAAATGTGAAAGAGAGAAAAGTAAAGTGGGGGAGAGGGAGAGGGGGAGGAGGGAGAGAGAGAGTGAGAGAGAGATATCTTAAATGTTGGGTTTCTTTGTAATTCTTTCATTCTCTCAATTTAAAAAATTGTTTCACATTTATAACTATACAATCAATCATGAAAACAAGGAAATCTGTTGAAATTGTTTTGGGAAGGGAAAAGGAGGGTCATGGGGGGTTACTGATTGGAATATATTATAGACATGTGGAAATATAACAATGAAATCCCCCTCTGTATAACTATTGTAAGCTAATTTTTTAAAATGCTTAAAAAACCCATGCTTGTTTTTGTTTTTACTGATTCTGTCAAGATTCTTTTCCTTGCTTAGCCTTCTGCTCTTACTTACTAAGATTACATTCAAGTACACAGACATTCATTTATTAAAACAAACTGGATGCCTCAGGGTTTCTAGACTACAAGCATTAATAAAAATATTTAAATCACTAGGTAAAGACAGAATACTAGCTGGGCTCTGGTGGCTCATGCCTGTAATCCTAGCTACTCAGGAGGTTAAGATCTGAGGATCGAGGTTCAAAGCCAGCCCGGGCAGGAAAGTTCGTGAGACTCTTATCTCCAATTAACCTCCACCCCATCTAGAAAACTAGAAGTGGTGCTGTGGCTCAAGCAGTAGAACGCTCGTCTTGAGCTGAAGAGCATAGGGACAGCATCCAAGCCCACAGTTCAAGCCCCACGACCGACCAAAAAAAAAAAAAAAAAGACAGAGTACTATCTACGAATGACTGTAAGCTTTAGAAGGTAAATCTTACATTTGTTTTGAATATCAAAAATCAGTGCTGTATCAATAAGAAATAATGTACCTGGAGAAAAAAACTCAATTATAGAAAAATTAGTGCTTTTGATTTCCCCAAATTCAAGTATAGTAGAACATAGCTTGTCCAGAGCTGTCCAATGGTAAACTTTTCTAATATCAGAGTGATCCTAAGGTCTGTGCATGCACTTTCCAGTACTTATCAGAGCCTGTTTTCTTGAATTTACACCACTTGATCTCCAGGTACTGGTTTTTAATTAACATGTGAAAGAAGAAAAACTCAATTATCAAAAAATTAAAAAGAAATATAATCCAATGCCAGAAGAGCTCTTAGTTAAAAACAAAAAACAGAAACTAATATTTTTAAAATTAGGAGAGGCTGGGAATGTGGCTTAGTGGTTAGAGTGCCTGCCTAGCACACATGAAGCCCTGTGTTCGATTCCTTAGTATTATATAAACAGAAAAGGCCAGAAGTGGTATTGTGGCTCAAGTGGGAGAGTGCCTTGAGCAAAAAAGAAGCTCAGGAACAGTGCCCAGGCCCTGAGCTTAAGCCCCAGGACTGACAAAAACAAAGACAAAATAAAATTAGGAGAAATCATACCAGCACTACACAAACCAAAACAAGATGGATCATTTTAATTAGATAGAAGTATTGAAGCATTTGTTGCTTTTATTTTTCCCTAAAGTAAAACCCAACTTCACAAATTCAAAACTTGTTATATAACTTATTCATATATTTTTCCAAGCCTAAGGCTGCAAAACTCTACAAAGCTGGTGGCAGAGTGCTTGACTGGAATGCACAAGGCCTCAGATTCAATACTTATTGTAAAATAAAAGGGTAGGGCAACTTAGTCTTAAAAAGTACTGAGACGGGCTGGGAAGGTGGCTCAGTGGTAGAGCGCATGCCTTGTATGCATGAGGCCCTGGGTTCGATTCCTCAGCACCCCATAAGCAAAAAGAAAAAAGCCGGATGTGGCGCTGTGGCTCAAGTGGTAGAGCACTAGCCTTGAGCTGAAGAGCTGAGGGATAGCGCCCAGGCCCAGAGTTCAGGCCCCATGACCGGACCCCCCCAAAAAAAAAAAAAAAAAAAAGTACTGAGACAATAACCCAGCACACCTGGCTTGCTGGTCATCTCTAGCATGTATTGATACACCACCTCACGTCAAATAAAAACTGCTTATAACCAAGCTCAAATGTTCTTGATATTTAATGGAAGACTGTTTCATAAACATAGAAACCACTTTGCAAAACCTAAAAAAGAGAAGGATAAAACATAAACGACTTGTTTAAACACAAATTGAAGAATGACATCCAGTGTTGATACTTAGATGTGTCCTAATATTTATGATTCTTCAGTCTGTAGCATCCAAGTAATTTCCAATACTGGAATGTAGTAGGACCAAAAAGAGAGAAAGATCATCTTCACATCTAATTCTCAACTAAAAGATTGGCATGAACTCAGAGATGGGACACAGTGGTAGAGCGCCAGCTGTAAGCAAGAAAGCCAAGTGTAAGGCCCTGAGTTCAAGTCTTAGTATCTACCCAATAAGAAAATAAATAAAAATTTGTAGTCTTTTACTCTCATTCCCTGCCTGGAAATACTTTTCTTTTTTTTAACAAAAATTAATTTTTCTCTATTTATACTAAAATAATTATCAGCAAAAAGTCCCTTTAGAGCCTGTAACCTTAGCTACTTAGAGGCTGAGATCTGAGGATTGAAGTTCAAAGCCAGCCCAGGCAGGAAAGTCTGTGACACTCTTATCTCCAATTAACCATCAGAAAACTGGAAGTGGTGCTGTGGTTCAAGTGGTAGAGTGCCTTGAGCTGATGAGCTGAGGGACAGCATTCAGGCCCAGAGTTCAACCCCATGACCAACCAAAAAAAAAAAAAAAGTCCCTTTAAAAAAAGGATGGAAGTAGGGGGGAGGTAGGGAAGGGATGTGAAGGGTAAACAAAGGAGAAGGCTGCAATGCTTGATAAGAAATGTACGCATTGTCCTGCCCATGTAATTGTAACCCCTCTGTACAGTATGTTCACACACAAAAAAAATAAAATTAAAAAAAAAAAAAAGGATGGAAGAAGAGCTCCTGTTTAGAAAGTATGAAACAAAGTTCAAACCCCAGTACTGCTAAAAAGAACACAAAAGATATAAGCAAAAACTCCAGGCATGAAGGGGCATGCCTGTAATATTAGCTACTTGGGAAGCAGAAGTAGGAAAATCAGGGTCTGAGGCCAGCCCAGGCAAAATGAGAGCGAATCAGAAAAACGAAACTAAAAGCAAGTAAGACTGGGCACACAGCTGAAATGGTAGAGAACTTCCCTACCAAGTACAAAGCCCCAAGTTCAATCCTCATTACTGCTCTCTCCCAAATAAGAAATATATAAGAGAGCTCGCTTCGGCAGCACATATACTAAAATTGGAATGATACAGAGAAGATTAGCATGGCCCCTGTGCAAGGATGGCAAGCAAATTTGTGAAGCGGTCTATATTTTTGTGCTGTACATCTTGTATATACGTTTTTCTAATTTGGAAAGGGGAAGGGAAAGAACAAAATGCTGAAATGGATAGATACAGGTTGACCCATTGTAACAACGAGATGTACAAGACACTATGTTGAAAACAAACTTTACAACTTGGGGGGGGGGGAGTAGCTGGGGAGGTAGGGAGGGAAGGGATGGTAGGGGAAACACAAAGGAGGGGGTAACAATGCTCGATAGGAAATGTACTCATTACCTTACTCATGTAACTGTAACCCCTCTGTACAGTATCTTTACAATAAAATATATATTAAAAAAGAATACATAAGAATAATTTAAGCAAATATGACTTATCAGACCTATTGCTTCAACTTTACTTGGAAATACAACAATACAGAAAAGCATTCATGCTAGGCATAGTGGGTGCATGCCTGTAATCCAGTCCCCAGAGGAGGGTATTTGAGTTCTAGAGTTCTAGGGTATAGGAGGATCTTGAGTTCTAGAACTGCTTAGGTCAAACAGTAAAACCTTATCTCAAAAACAAAAAAAAAAAAACATGTTCAAATGTAAGCTGAATGTTTTTATAGCATGTACCAACACACTCAGCCTCTGAACATTTTAAAGTGAACTTAAGACTAGTATTTATAGTAAAAATAAAAGTGTGTGGGGGGGGGGGAATCAAAAATCAAATCTACCTACCATTCCAAACTCAAGTGACAGTTCTGATCATAAAGCAGATATATGTCAAAACTAATTTCAATAAACCTTGATTTTATATGTTTAGAAACAAAGAGAAGGATGAAAGTGATCTCATTTTTCAGAAAACATTGTTTGCTTCAATTATCTATTGGCAAAAATAATAATCCAGGAAAGTAAATTCACAAGCACAGAAATAATCTTTTAATAACATTAAAGAATCTATGAACACGGAACCTTAAAAATGTGCTCATTTTAATAAACCCTGGAGAATACTCTGAATTTTTCTTCAGTAAATACTTCCCAGATTCACTGAGCATTCCCCTGAAACAAACATTTACTGAGTCAATAAAATTCCACAAATTATTTTCTGGTAAGATCTTTCTATGCATAGTCAAAATGTTTGCCTTACTTTAATTACTTTTACTTTAATTCTATGCATACACATAATTCATATAGTTACAGGATTTAAAGATATATACATGTGTGTATGTATGTATACATTCATGTGTGTATACATAAACACACATATATATCAGACAGACAATGAAAGATTTTACATTAAGAGAAAAAATAAAAGGCAAATCATCAGGAAATGGAAACAAAGAGGTTTTTTCTTTGCTGTTGTTTTCATTTTCTTTCTTTTTTTTTTTTTTTGAGTCTTTGGAAGTGTAAGGGGAGGCACAGAAATGGAGGGACGAAGGGTGAACAAATGCAGCAGTGGTGTTCATTAGACACTAAGTTCAAAATGAACTATACAATTTGTGTGTGAGGATGGGGGAAAAATTGGGAGAGAAAGAGGGAAGGGGTGACATTATCCAAAAGAAACATATTCTTTACTTAAGTAACTGTAACCCCTCTGTACATCACATTTATAATAATAATAAAAAAAATTAGGGGTTGGGAAGGTGGCTCAGTGGTAGAGCGCTTGCCTTGCATGCCTGAGGCCCAGGGTTCAATTCATCAGCACCACATAAGTAAAAAGAAAAAAGCCAGAAGTGGCGCTATGGCTCAAATGGTAGAGCGCTAGCCTTGAGCTGAAGAGCTGAGGGACAGCGCCCAGGCCGAGTTCAGGCCCCATGACCAGACCTAAATAAATAAATAAAATAAATAAATAAATAAGGTAAATCGTGTAAGCCAGATTCTGGTGGCTTAGACCTGCAATCCTAGCTATTCAGGAGGCTGAAATCTGAGGAATGCAGTTCGAAGCCAGCCTGGGTAGGAAAGTCCATGAGACTCTTTTATCTCCAATAAACTACTCAGAAAAAGCCAAAAGCAGAACTGTGGCTCAAGTGGTAGAGTGCTAGCCTTGAGCAAAAGAAGCTCAGGGACAGTGCCCAGGCCCAGAGCTCAAGCCCTAGGACTGGCAAAAAACCAAAACCAAACAAACAAAAAAAATCAAGGATATTCATACAGTATTATGTACAAAAGATCCTTTCTGTGAAAAAAAAATTGTTTATATATACACACAGACTACTAACCAAAAAGAGACTTCAGCAAATTCATTTTGTAAATTAAGTATTAGGTTAGTTCTTAATAAGTATCTTCTTATTTTAAAACTTGCAATTCAGGGGCTGGGAAGGTGGCTCAGTGGTAGACTGCTTGCCTTGCATGAATGAGGCCCTGGGTTCAATTCCTCAGCACCACATAAGCAGAAAACAAACAAACAAACAAACAAAAACACTTGCAATTCAAACAATGTAAATGTTGGAAAATGATTCCGACAGCTTTATTTATTCTGATAAGTTTTGCTAAATATATTAAACCTTATTCAAAGACAGAACTTTTCTTTTTCTTTTTTTTTTTGGTTGATCATGGAGCTTGAACCCAGGACCTGGGGTTCTGACCTTACACTCTTTTGCTCAAGGCTAGCACTCTACCACTCTGAGCCACAGCTCAAAGTTTTCTGGTGGTTAACTGGAGGTAAGAGTCTCATGGACTCTCCTGCCATCATGATCTGGCTTTGAACCAAAGTCCTCAGATCTCAGGCTCCTTAGTAGTTAGGATTACAGGCATGAGCCACCAGTGCCCAGCTCAAAATTTCAAAAGTGTTCTACAATTGTTCTCCAAAATGTCTCACACACCAATCTTCCAAACTGATTTTTTTTTTTTTGGTTGGTCATGGGGCTTTAACTCCGAGCCTGGCTGTTGTCCCTCAGCTCTTCCCCTCAACATTAAGAGCCACAGTGACACTTACAGCCTTTTCTGTTTATGTGGTACTGAGGAATTGAACCCGTGGCCTCATGCATGTGAAGCAAGCACTCTATTATTGAGCCACCTCCCCAGCCCCAAACTGAAATTTTTAAGGGCACAAAATAGGAATTGACAACCTTTTTCTATAACAGCCAGAAAGTAAATATTTTAGGTTTTCCCTATTATATATTCCTTTTGTTATGAACTTTTCAGGAATTAAAAAAAAAAGTTCTTAAAGCTCAGAGCTACATAAAAAGAAGCCAAAGGCTAGAGGTAGCTTTTCAGTTTGCCAACCACTGACTTATAACAACAAACCAACATTTTGGAAGTCTGATATTTTAAATATATTACAAAAAAAATGCAATACAGTTCAAAACTGGGTCACTTTCATTCTATATTAGCTAAAGAAAGGTGACATTAGGGCTGGGAAGGTGGCTCAGTGGTAGAGCACTTGCCTTGCATGCTCGAGGCCCTGGGTTCGATTCCTCAGCACCACATAAGCAAAAAGAGAAAAGCCGGAAGTGGCGCTGTGGCTCAAGTGGTAGAGCGCTAGCCTTGAGCTGAAGAGCTGAGGGACAGCGCCCAGGCCCAGAGTTCAGGCCCCACGACTGGACCCAAAAAAAAAAAAAAAGAAAGGTGACATTAAAGAAATTATGTGTAAAACTGCTCACCTACTCAGGAGACTGAGATCTGAGGATCATAGTCAGTTTGGGCATAGAAGTCTATGAGATTTTCATCTCCAATTAACCACCAAAATGCTCAGGTGGTAGAGTGCTAGCTTTGAGCAAGAAAGCTCAGGGACAGCACACAGACCCTGAGTTCAAGTCCTGTTACTGTTATTATCTAGACAAATTAATCAAAGGATGTGAAAATATATTTTATACTTTAAAATATTCTATGTTAACATATACAATATAAAAGATATTTATATTTAAATTATATATTACATGTGCGTGCCTACAAAGCATACATACCCACTTGGCAAAACTCACCTGTGGGTACTAGTGACTTATTCCTGTAATCCTAGCTATTCAAGAGGCTGAGACCTAAGAACTGTGGTTCAAAGGCACATTGAGACTCTTATCTCCAATAAATTATTGAGAAAACCAGAAGTGGAGCTGTATCTCAAAGTGGTAGAGAACTAGCCTTGAGCAAAAGAGTTTAGGAACTCCAGACTCCAATTTCCAAGTCCCACAACTAGCCAAAATAAATAAATAAACTGTAATTTACATACTACATATCAATGTTCAAATCTCCTTTTATAATAAGTAAAATCATCCTCATTAATCGAATCTATTTACAGCCTTTGTTTTTTCTTGATGTCATCCACACCTGAAAATTAGGAACTCAATTCAGAGATGTAGTAACTTTGGTTCTAATTTTTTTTTTTTTTTTTTGGATCCGGTCGTGGGGCCTGAACTCTGGGCCTGCGCGCTGTCCCTCAGCTCTTCAGCTCAAGTCTAGCGCTCTACCACTTGAGCCACAGCGCCACTTCCGGCTTTTTTCTTTTTGCTTATGTGGTGCTGAGGAATCGAACCCAGGCCCTCAGGCATGCAAGGCAAGCGCTCTACCACTAAGCCACCTTCCCAGCCCTGGTTCTAATTTTTTAACTTACAAAGGTTATTGTAAAATTAAGTTAACAAACTATTCTTTGAAATCTATATTCTTGAAATGCATCAACAGCATCACTATTATCACCATTTTCCCCCATCAGAAAGGCAGCTTTTATGCATTTGATTTCATGTAAAATTGAAAAATTCTCATCATCTTAATGCTTAGAATTGAATATAAATTTCATTATGAAAAATAAACTGAGTCAAGCTATAAATCTAAAATAAAATCTCTATCCCACAAAATAACCAAATATTCTTATATAATAATCTTACCTAGACTGGTGGGTTTTATCAGTTCATCCAGTAAGTCATAAAATGGTAGTTTTTGAAGTTTTATATCCGGATGGACTGGGTGAAGAGCTGATGTAAGATGTGGGAGTTCCAGTTCATGTTTAGGTCCCAGAAGAGAAGCAGGGAGTAGCGGTGACGATGCAGGGTGACCATCATAAGTGAGTTGTGGAATGGTGGATGGAGACAAAGTTGCTGGCATAGGACTTGAATGTACGTTTGGGAT